TTTGGTGTAAGTGAAGCTAGCGAAATGGCCGCTTGCGCATCACGAGCGTGGCATGTAGTCATGTTGTTACATGACACGCATGTCATGACTTTCATGTTAGCTTCCGTCGCGTGTGTTCGCCATGCAATCATGCCATGCCATACCAGTTTTGCAACATGCCATGTGAACGAAACCACTGCAAGAACTGCAGGGCGATGAAATGTAACACGACATTCATGTAATCATGACATTCATGACATACATGTCATGATTTTCATGTTATGACTAGTGAAGTATATTCTTCATACAGTCATGTTGTGCCATACCAAGTTTGGTATTGATACCATAATCAAAACGGCAAGGAGAGCTAAAAGTCGTAGGCGGCTAGATAGATAGATAGATAGATAGATAGATAGATAGATAGATAGATAGATAGATAGATAGATAGATAGATAGATAGATAGATAGATAGATAGATAGATAGATAGATAGATAGATAGATAGATAGATAGATAGATAGATAGATAGATAGATAGATAGATAGATAGATAGATAGATAGATAGATAGATACGCTCAAATTCGCAGAAGTTCACTAAGAAATGCTTCGCATTTAACAAAGCCTAGCGCCCTCAACAAAGCCAACGAAACCAATAGCCCAAACACACAATTATAAGGCCAGTTACTGAACGCACTAACACAGTCCGGTTTCCACATACGATTGCTAACCTGACCAGTCTACAGAAGAAATTCAAAGAAAATCCGCTTGAGTTTTTCACAACAAATATAGACGCGAAGATTCACCAACCCATATATTTTAACCCAGTCCGGTTTGCAAACACAATCAGCAAGAGCGAAGCACACTCGCTTAAAAGTCTTGTTTCAACTAATACTGCCTAAAATAACCAGAAGAGCAATAATTCCAAATACATACCTTGTTCCAAGGTCTTAACGAAAAGAAAAAAAAAAAACGCGCGGTAACGTGTGTGCCTTTTGTGATTGATATGTGGTGTTTAACGTCCTGAAACCACGATATGATAAGGAGAGACGCCCTAGTGGAGGGCTCCGGAAATTTCAAACCACCTGGGGTTCTTTAACGTGCCCCCAAACATGAGCACACGGGCCTACACCATTTCCGCCTCCATCGGAAATGCAGCCGCCGCAGTCGGGATTCGAACCGGCGAACTGCGGGTCAGCAGCCGAGTACCTTATCCACTAGACCACCGCGGCGGTGCATGTGTGCAATTTCTAACGGATGGCTGGCTGGAAACCACGAATTCGTTATGATAATCACATGTTCTTACGCCTGATCGCTCGTACTGCTGCGATTTTGAATGTTCTATTGAGATGTCTGTACACAGGATTCGTGTGTGTGTGTGCCAAGCATGAAAGTTGCTTTCACTGCATTTTCAAGCAGAGGAAGTTGTTTTAATTATAATTTCAAGCAGAGGTGGCACTGTGTGGTAGGACACATACTTATCCACGCTATCAATTTTATCTGCATGTATCTCGATTTTTCGGTCGTGAACAAGATGATGTTTTTTTTTTTTTTCGCTTACAGTCACCGGTGCCGACGCCGACACCGACGTCGATGTCATGGTTTCTTTGAAACTAACTTTAATGCTATCACAATAATAGCAGGATAGTACGTTCGAAAAGTATGCATGCATTCGGTTCGCTTCACTCCTTTATACGCGTCTTACATGTTTAGTCTGTGCTTGACTTACCTGAGACGATTTGCATATATTATCCATCATAGTCTGACCCAGGTTTGTTTATATTGTAATGCTCCGGTTCTGTGTGCACTTGCGTGTGATGTTACCTGTATTGAACGCCATCGTCTTGGATAATGTGGCGTTAATGGCGTAAATGCCCGTCATGCATGGTCGAATGATCCCGTCGTGTCCATGCATGTTACGAATGTGCCATGCACATCACCGATGTGCTTGCTGTCTTTCTTTATGCGCGTACCAGTATAGAATTACCACTGGAATACTAACAGAAGATGTTTCAATAAATTCCTCTTATTCGCTGCCGTTTTTCAGTCCCGTTTTCCCTAATGGCGGTTAATGTTCTTTTCTCTTCTTTGTTTATTTCTCCGAAATTCTTACTTGTCGTCAGTCCTAACATTTTTATTTTTTAACTTGGCAGCCTGCAATACCCCACGTGTGCAGCATGGCAGCGCATATATAGTTGGTTGCTTTATTGTGAAGTACATTAATAACTCTATCAATTTTTGACTGGATTTTCACCACACCGATATTTTTTTCAGTCATACGTTACGTACGAACTCCTCATTCCTACCAGCATCTTTGCAACGCTATTCAACGTTCAGCGTGATATTGTAGTCCCAGACATGGAGCAGGGGGATGAGAGGGAGGATGCAAAGCTTCAGCCGCATACATTGACACGAAAGAAAGGGGGGAGCTACGAATATCTTGATTTCGAGTGTGCTGCAAGGACGATAAATGGACCGGATAAGCGTTTCCCCATTATGATATGCAATGATTAATATGCGTATGAATTAAAGCGTAGTAAACACAGATTAGCCTGTCTACATTGAAGTAGTGTCGAACTTTATTTAATATTATAATGCCATAAGCTGTCTTTTTTGTTGACGATAAACTTGCTCATCAAAGTTTAGGTGTTTATCTAATGTGACACTAAGAAACATGACATTATCAGTAGGATAGTGTGAGCTTGAAGCAAAGGTTAATGACGGAGATCCCGAAAAATGATTTTGCTTAGCGGGAAAAAAATGACGGATTTCGTAGCACTAATGTGTAGTTTATTTTGTTGACAACAGGTAACTATGTTATCCGCGTCGTGGTTCAGTTTACACAATAACGAATCAATGCTATTATCTGAGCAGGAAATAGGAGTGTTGTCAGCGTGTAGAATACAGTCAGATGAATTTAGGCATTGTGAAAGGGTCATTTATGTATATATGAAGAATAAGAGTGGACCTAACATTGATCCCTGCGGTACCCCCAGGTGACTTGTTTCACGGTGCGAATAAGTGCTATATATTGATACAACATACAACGTACACCAGCCAAAATGACATGCAGGGAAGGGTGATCCTGTTGGTCGACCGCATATATCAGTGAAAGTGTCCGCCACCGGTGTAATTTATAAGTAGTCGCGGCGGAGTAGACAGGAACCCCTTGCCGGCAGGGGCAGCGGCCTTAACCCTCACAGCATCCCGGCCAGGCTGCGAAGGGGTGGGGAACCGGTCTTCCAGTCTGTCGGCGAATGGCCGGAAGCACTGTCCGATAGCTGAAGGGGTCATCGCGATGTCCGATGTCAAAGCAGCGCCGGACGAACAGGCTACGCCGCGACCACTTTCCTGCCAAGGGGACTATAGCAGGTGTACGTCTTCTCTCCGCATCTTCAAGTGTCCATCGCAGCTGATCTTGTTTTTGTGTGTGCGGTCGTTGTTGATGTCGCCTAGACCGCTGCTCGAGCGATGGGACTGGTTAGTGAGCGAGGGGGAAATATAGGTGGAGGAGGAGGTTAAAGAAGGGGCGAGCTACTTATAGCTGCGCTCATCAGGGTCCATGGTCACCGTACCAGTGTACAACTCCGGAAGCGAACAAGAGGTGAGCGTGTCTTAGTAGCAATGCTGGTCTTACGTTTCCTACCATGATCCATAACAATTATAAGTATTAAATTTAAATGCCTTTCTTAATCTAGAAACACGGTGAAGTGCCATGAAAACTGAACGCGAATATGTTTCTAGATTTTTTTCACAAATGGTTTTCAACACAGAAGGCAATACAGATCTATTACGAACTTATTTTGCATGAAACGTCTGGTGTTTAGGAACCACGAGACTCAAGAACAAGCTTAATATTATCGCTGCTTTGGCAGAAATCCTCGTAGTTAGATTTACGGCCTGTTTTAAGGCGAGCTAGCGACACGAGCTGCACAGTTGGCCGTAACTAAAAATTCCGAATTGCTGGGAAATTCAGCGTCTCCCGAGTCTCGTAGTGCTCTGTAAATTTGAAATCTTTAATGATTACTCTCGTGCTAACATGATTTGCTAACTTAAGTGGTTCGGGAGCCGCAATTACTGGGGCAACGCAAACGTGTTAACAAATTCTGCTATTGCCGCACCACCGTCTCTCGGATAAGGCCAGCTAAAACGTCAAGGGTAGTGCTAGCACGATCAGCCTCGCCACTTGCACCGAGGCACGAGGCTAGTCAGCATCTAACTTCGAAGAAAAGCAAATCTGCTTTAGGCTTATCAGTTAGTATAGTTTATTGATCATATCGCCGCTGATTTCACCATAACAGGTTATCATAATAAGCACAAAGTTATGCTCAGAACGGCGCGTGTGTGCGTCATCCGAATTTCGAGCCGAACCTCAATTTCTGCGCACTATTATGGTGGGCCGAATTTCACTTCAATGTACGTGCAGTGCTCGTCTTTAGTTTTTATTTGTCTCTTTGTTACGCATTGGCTAACTTATTGTTCTGTGTGACAAACCAAACGATCGTCTAGTTAACCTTCTTGCTGTCACTTTTTTTTTCCTTCCTTCTTCTCTCTCTACTTCTTCAGGTCTAGATCAATAGAACTTCAGATACCTTGTTTCGTTTCATTCTTGATTCCTTCAGAGCTCGGTTTCACTCATATTTACAGAAGATGAATCACAAGGGTCCCAGCGGGCGCCGCAAAGCTCTACTTTGGACTACAGCTGTAAAACTACGCTAAAACTGCTGCACCAGAATGTCATCTCTGTCAAAGACATGTCTCCCTGTCAAACGTTCGCTTCAGTGATAATTTCTGCTCAACCGTTTCTTGTACGTTCAAAGCCGCCATATTCCTGTGAGCATCTAGCAACTGAGTTATACCATAATCGACCATAGCTGTACATTAAGCGACTTGAGGGGGTGGGGGGAGTTGTATCCTCCAACGGAACAGGAAAGCCAGTGATAGTGCCCACTTGAAGTTGACTGATTGTTAACGTTATGTCATTACGTACACACCATGGTTGCGGTTCTCCCACCATGCAGAAACGAAGATGACGTCCAGAACTTCTCTCGCCGTGGCTCTGCCATTGGTGGTTCTCCTGGTGGTGGCGCTTTCGTCGGCGCAAGATTACCCGCCGCGACGGACTGTTGCCAGTGGTCGCGACTGCAACTACATCTGCTTCCTGGACAACTGCAACCGTCACAAGTGTTACTACACCTGCACTAGGCCAAGCTACTGCGAAGACAGTGCGGCACTATTAATCTCTGGGGGTAAGTATATACGTTCACTGAACGCTCTCTCTATACTATACGCTGAGTGTATTTACGAACAGTTAACCTATACTATGTGGGTGAATTTATTACAGTCAGCGCTTTTTGCAGCCACTACACTTACCCAACGTCTTCTCAGGTCATTGAATGTGGAACATACCTCCTGTGCAATCTAGAAAAAATAAATAAAAACTGTTGCTCGGTTCGGTGCGGTCTGACTTGCTACGCAAATGACTCCTTTTAAAGATACACGTTCACTCTCTTCAGCAGGTCATTATACTCCCTACGAAGAGTGGCGAGAGGTGCTGCTCTCCCAAAAGGGTGTTAACGCGCATCTTTAAAAGGAGTTATATGCATGCCAAGTCAGGACACCCAAAGAAGGAGCAATAGATACTCCTTTTTTACAGATATTCTAATGCAGAAGGTATATCGAATATAAACATACTGCGCTCAGCACACAAAAACTGTATGTAATGGCAGCTCAGTGAAGCTTGCTGCGGGATCGCCCGTGTCTTTTTTCACATAGTGAAAACTGAACGCGTAAACGATTGCAAGTTATGAACTTGATGTCTGTTAAAAAACAATGCGTATTACCACCTATACAGGCCAACCAAACCGGCATTGTGACTTTAAAAAAGAAGTCTGTCTAAAACACTAACTGAAAGAATTAGTGAATAGCTCTGCACATTAGGGGGTTGGGCGCATCACTGAAGATGGAGCTCAGGGAGTGACATGGATTTTTAAGGAGTTGAGCTTCTCACTATGTTGGACCTAAAGTGTCATTTCCTTTACATCGTATGTTGATGAACATGCCATATGCCTACCTCCACCATATCTATCTTCGGGTACAAGTCACCCCTTTCTCCGTCAGATAAGTCAATTTGGCACAGAAATAAGTTTTCTGCAGTCAGTCATCTGGGAACAGTCTTTGTCCCTCTTAGCTTAGCTTGTCTTGCGCCCCACGTTGGGCGCCAAATGTCGGCTCCGGACCTATGGTAATCCACTGCCCTCAGAGATAACACGGGGTCCTTTTAAAAAACACACTGTTGCTGCTGAAACTCTCGGCCCAGTGCGAGGTTCGATCGTGAGCGCAGCCCAGGCCACTCCTAATCTCTTTCCATTGCGCTCCAGGCCAGTGCCGCGTGATTTTTTTCGTAATTAGTAGAAATATTCAGTGTAGAACTGACGATGATCTCTCAAATGGACTTTCTCTTATCGGGGTTGCATCGCAGGTTCAGTGGACGGCGTAGTGCCCGGTCATCCATCACCGGTTCACGACGTGGATGGTGTGGATGTTCCCAACGATCCGTCGGCGCCCGCAGTGGCGCCAAGCGCCTGAAGCACGCTTTCACCTAAGACGCCATCATTGCCACATGCTCATCACAGTACCACCGTTGACACAATAGCCACAACAACACCGCCTGCCACAACTATACACACGCCTGCTAGCCAGCTATCCCGGATCTTAATGATGAACCAAATTTGTATAAGAACCGCGAGTTATACGGACACCCTGTTTGTTTAATGGGCATTTTATCGCTTGCAGCAGGACACCTCTCCGCGCCACAGTGTGTGAACTATATGAAGGGGTACGCATGCCGAGAGGTGCGCTACCTTCTCTCGACGCTTCATTTGAAGTCAGGAGTGACGTAATCGAGATGCATGAGGGGCCGGACTATCGTCGGCCTGCGTTATCTAATAAGATCAGGGAGGCTTCTTCTCTGTAAGCGACGTGAGAACACGTTCTCGACAAAAACAATGTGACTTCAAGCTTCTTCTCGAAATACGCCGTAACTGTTTAATCGGTATCACTGTGCATACTCAGTGTTTTTTTTTTGTTTATTGTAATGTCTTGCTCTGCCACCACCTCTGAGCTTAGCGAGAGGACGCGGGGAATTTCAATCGTATAGGATCTGTCCTTGATGGCCACGCTAGATAGCGACGTCATTTCAGAAACCACGCACGACTTGGACATCGGCCAGTCGTTCTCGCTCAGTGCAATGTTGTGCGTGCAGTTTATCGACGATTATGCGCTGAGTTCTCAATAGGATTTAAACTGTTTAGACCGATATGCTAAAAAAAAAACTCCGAAGTAGTGCAGCAAGTGCATGAAATTTTTCGGTAAGAATAGCCACGCTCTTGTGTTTTTTTTTTTTTTGTAAGAGTGGGAGCTGCGCACTATACCGTACCAGCTCTCACCCTGCCATATACTCCCCCTCGGTTGCCAGCAACATCGATGTCTCATTGTTATCCTGAAGTCTGTGTTTCTGTGCTATAGAGGCTGCGCAAGGTGTCATGGGAATGGTTGACCAGGCTCCGATAGAGAAGTACGGTAATGCAGACATCAGCGGGTTCTCCCGCGCTGACGACTTCTTAAAACTGGGAACACTTATGCCAACCTTGCGGCTGCGGTTTGTACTGTCTACGTAATCGCAACTCGGTCTCTAGGGTGATCCGGGATCTAACTCTACGGCTTGTTGAATAACCAAAGGTTGTACACCATGTCTTCAACGCAGGTACACTGGGACTTGCCCTCCGACTAATACTCCCTAGACAATGTTCTTCTCTCGTGTCCCTGAAACTCTCAAAGTGCGGTCAGCAAGTTTGCCGTATATGTACTCTGACCAGTCGTGTTTCGTCTTTACTGTACTTCATGTTCTGAAACACTCGTGAAATCCACAACCAAGGGACAGTGACGTCGTCTATACATTGTGAAGTGTGTTCTGCTAATAGGATGTTCGTGCCAAAAAAATACTATAAAGTGAACTGTATCAGGGTGCATGTGCCACCGTACCATCGCATCTTTAGAGATCATGATCGTGAGGTCAACTTCTTCTGTAGTGAAACGTTGCTATAGAGGGCTCTTACTGACGTCATTGAAGCCTGCATGCTGGAGACCCATGGACCTAAGAACCCGTATCCACGACGCCGCGGAATCACAAGGTGCTTATGGAAAACGCTTTGTCATTGTTGTAAATCCAACGTGGTACAATGCCATTCTATGCTCATAATAAAATCGACAATGTTGACCATACGCAGTCTACAAAAAGTGTTCAGAGGATCACCGTTTTCCGAGTTATCATACACCAACTGGACACACGTGACTTCGGGAATGGCCGAAGGGAATAAAAAAGCGATGTAATTACAGAACGTAGTGCTTCGGCGTTATGTCTTTTCGAGAAGTTGGACGTCATTTTAATCATCAGCATCCCGTTGGGACAGCACACACCAAAAAAGTGCTTTACTGCCTATTTGATTCGAGAAAACTTTTGAAAAGAAGGGATAGCAGTTTATTCGCGATAAAGAACTGATTAACCAAGCAAACAATGCGATTGATTGACATGTGGGGTTTAACATCCCAAAACCACCATATGATTATGAGAGATGTCATAGTGGAGGGCTCCGGAAATCTCGACCACCTGGGGTTCTTTAACTTGCGCCCGAATCAGAGCACACGGGCCTACAGCATTTTCGCTTCCACCGAAAGTGCAGCCGCCGCAGCCAGGATTTAATCCCGCGATCTGCGGGTCAGTAGCCGAGTACCTTAGCCACTAGATCACCACGGCGGGGCGCAAACAACGTGGTAATTTAGCCCTAAAAGAAAACTGAAACAGCGTAAGGGTAAGGAACAATATATAATTATTAAATTACGGGGTTTCACGTGTATAAAAGAAATGTTGGTAATTAAAATATGACACACATTGCAGTACTGCTACTCAAAAATATTCAATCTGTATTGCTGATTTAATGATAATTTAACAACAAATGTAGTTGCACTCTATTTTAATATTGCAGCTCCTAAGATGTAATGAAGTTAGGTTGCAATCACAGGAGTCATTCGATAATGCGGCTATTACTTGCGAAAAGTAATGAAATTGTTGTGAAACTGCAATGACGAAACGTCATCATTCATGCACAACTCATGTACACGTTTTTGCACATATACATAAAAATCTTATAGATCTTTTTTTAATTTTAATTTACACTAGGTTCAACTTGTGTATGTCATTTTTCATTCCTTTTTGGTCAATAGTTTACGCCATAAACGAACAGGACATACTGTATATTAGTCAAAAGTAATTAAGAAAAAAACGAGCCAATGACGCTTGGTGAAATTAACTACGTTGCTAAACTACAGCAGCAAGTAACTTAATCAGTATAGCTTGCTTATCACGATTTCATTACTGCCAAGCAAGACACGATAGCATGAAAATCGTATGTACATGTAATGACGAAGCGAGTAATTATGAATAAAGATAGCTACTAGCATGCTACTAGCAAACAAAACTAGAAATTTCTGAGCAACTGTTTAAGGTTATTTGAAAACATCAGTGTATTTTGAGCCTGTAGTTTGGTTTGAGAGTTTCCTTGTGAGAGAGCACCTACTGAAAGAACAACTGCAATATGCCCACTGTGGTATGATTCATCGTCACATTGCCAGGTTACGGAGTGCGTGCTACGCGTCCGAAAGAGGGAGAGAAGGAAAGAAAAGCGGAATGGTTAACCAGACGCATGTCCGCTGGTTTGCTACCCTGCATTGGGGTAGAGTGACAAGGGACTGAAAGGAGAGACAGTAGTGAAGAGAGGGGTGGACAGAATCACAAGCACACTCGGGAAACACAGCGAGTCCGCAGCGATCGCGCAGATCTCTTTTTAATGGGCGAAGCACCTTCAAAAGGTACAATGTCCCTCCGTCCACAAACTGCCACCCACCGTCTATAGCATATGTATAAACCGAAACATCGGTAAAGAGCGAAAACTTTATCGAAAGACTGTTAGCCAGAAATAAAATAAAAGACTACAACACCGACAGAACTCCCGCACTTAAACATACATTAATCAAAGCATATGATAGAACAAAGGTTATCAAGAACAAAATAAAATGTTGTTAACCAGTATTTAATAGAATGCCACCATTCATGATCCGATGCACGCGGCTTCGCCGTGCCCTGTCACTCATTATTCACTTCGGTCACCTCGTGTACGGGGGGCGTGGCTTAACGCTATGTCATAGTAGGGAACCAAGTACTCAAAATCGATCCCCCCTTTTTGTAAACACATATTTTTTAATATTTGCGGCAATTTAACGTGAACAATATTCTAGAACCATGGACGTGTGCGTCGAAGACGCAGTGGGCAATGAAATCGCTGCTGAAATAGCGTCTGTAAGGCAGAAATTCGGCAGACCCCACGTAAACCTCGGCAATAGTTGTCATGCGAAGCAGGCGGAAGGAGTGTGAATGCGTTGTAATTTTTTTGTTTGTTGAGCGAAACGCTATGAAATGTCAGTAACGATCCGTTACAAATGTTGTACGCAATGACATATGTTGTATAGTTGCGTGTTTTATGTAACCGACTGTTTATACAGCTGCGTAAGAATGTAACTAGCGACGTGGGTACTAGCAACACATGGGCGGTGAGCTGAATTGTAGTGTTTGTGCTTGTGAGGATGGCAGCCCTGGCTGCGGCTAAGTAGAGCTCTTAGAGTGGATGGCACTTAAGTACATAACCCGCAGGACGCGGGATCGAATCCCGCATGTAACGGCTGCATTTCCGATGGAGGCGGAAATGTTGTAGGCCCGTGTGCTCAGATTTGGGTGCACGTTAAAGAACCCCAGGTGGTCAAAATTTCCGGAGCCCTCCACTACGGCGTCTCTCATAATCATATGGTGGTTTTGGGACGTTAAACCCCACAAATCAATCAATCAATTACTTAAGTACATAACGGTCGTTAAACCCGTCATGACGCCAGTATCTTAAGAGTGAATACGTATTGTTCTTAAACTTAGATGGCGATAACTGCAACCACGATTGACGTTTCACCAACGTTATAAACCTGCATGGGACCTTTTATCCAAAGCAGTTTCGAAACCTGGCATGGCTCTGTCATGGAATACTTGATTCTATAAAGAATAGTTGGTTGACTGGTTGGCCCCTATAGGTGCCTGGCGCAACTCACCACGGGGGATGGGCCATGAAACGGACGGTATACCTTATCTTAGAAATTAGATTGTTTCACCGGGCGAATACGTTCAGATAGGAATGTTTAAAAAAAAGACAAAGCAAATTGGCGAAACGTAAATTGAAAATCGAATAAATAAATAAATAAATTGTTGATCCCACGTGACCGTGGGAATCGATGATATGCGAAGCACGTATGAGGAAGGTTGATATGTCACTTTAAAATCAGCACAACGTTATGAGGCGGAGGTAAATAGGTCCTGCATGACTTCCATGTCATGGTTATAATGCTTGGACGTGTCCTTTACTTTCGTCATCTACTCACTCACCTGATACCAAATTTGGTATATGTGGAGCTAGCGAAACGGCCACGAGCGTGCTAGGAGCGTAGAATGTAGTTCAGTTTTACATGACACGCATGCCATGATTATCAAGGTTGGACGTGTCATTGACATTCGTC